AGTACCCTTTGTGCTTCAACAATCAGAAATAAATACAGATTAGCCTGACTCAGGGTTAAATTAGGGAGCTCTGGGTTGAAGGTGAATAAAGACATACCAAGATAAATGAATTGCTAGACTTCAATTCAACTTCATTTCATTCCCTGGCCTTCTTTATTTTGTCTGATAAGGTGGTACTGACCAGAAAAATGAGCAACTCAAGGAGTGCTTTGTAAATAACAATGAACTTCAACTAAACATCCTCATTGAGCAGGATGTTCGGGTTGTGACCCTAATCACATGTCTCTTCATGTTCCCTGAAAAGGGTGGCAGTAGGGTCTCTAGTTGCTGAACAGAGCAGCGGGAGTGAAGAGATGGAAAGAGAACTACCATGAGAATCTGGGAGACCTGCTTCTAAGGCGGAAAAGGGTCAACATTATTCATTATAGTGGCGGGAAAGGCTGCTTATCTTTGATTTCCGCCGTGGAAAATCTCTGTCGCCTATAGACCTACGTACGTTGTAGGAAATACTATTGCCCTGGCTTTTACTTTTGTAGATTATCTGGGCATAAGTCATGACAAAGAATGCCCAGAAACAATGCATGGATATACGAGACACCAAGCCAAACCACCGCATGACTCTGACTTCTGTAATACTGGTGCCACTGTTGGTGAGGAGTTGTACTACAATGTTTATGGCTTCATAGAAAAGGATCCAGATGATATAGAGCACCAAGCCCCTGTGCCTCTGGGCATAGACTGAGTATAGGAGCAAGCCACAGATGACGAAGGTGATGCAAGACAGGAAAAGGACAATGCTCCAACTCCAACACACGATGAACTGGCTTATCAGGGTATTCACATTCTGGACACTTTGGTTAATCTCAGTGCAATCGTTGCTCCTCATGTGCTTCTGTTCAAAGATGAGGTACATGTACGTGGCTATGACGGTAAAGACCCCTGATAACACGGTGCCCGTTTTGGCGGTCATCCCACACCAGCGTTTCTGCTTCATGCTGAGACCTCCTGTGAAGACAAACAATATAAAGGAGATCTCTGGTTCCTGCTACTGTGGTGAATTACCAGGGTTTCTGCCTCCTTTCTCAAAGGAGAAACAACAGAAAGAAATATGGAAACCCGGATGTAACTTTGGGAAGACAAAGACTGTTTAAAATTGATCGGGAGTGTGAGTGGGGAGGAGGGAGGATGCAGTCTAGTGGCAGGGAGCAGATAAATTAGAGGAGTGCTTCTCAACCTTGGCTTCACATTGGAATCACCAAAAGTACCCAGGACCAAGCCCCACTCCAGACCAATTAGAACATTCTCTGGTGGGACCCAAAACATCAGCATTTTTCAAAACTTCCTAGTGAATTTCCGTATGTAGCCAGGATTGGAAAACACAGAGCCAAAAAAAAGTATTTTAAATTATATTCCTATCTCTCCTAAATTGCCTTGGGCAACGAGACACCCTACTGCCACCCTTTTCAGGGAACGTGGGCCACTGCTGCCCACTGATAGGGAAATTGGCCGCACTTGTCCAGACCCTGAGTGCACGTATCCTCAGGATTAAAATCAGCACAGGGCTCACAACTTAAGGAATACAATGAAAAGTGTAACTTAAGGGACATTTAGAGCCTTAGACCAGAATAACCTTATACTAGAAAAGAAAAAGCAGTAAGGAGCTAAGTGTCCAACTCAAGAAGTTGGGGGGAAAATGGATAATAAGAACAACAAATAATAGGAGGACGAAAAAATAGAACAGAAATCAGTGAAAAGCAAATAAAGAAAAAGTAGAGGGATTTCTGATTAGTCAGGTTATTAAAGCCAATTTACTGCTAACAACAACAAAAATGTTGGATAAAATAGATTTAAAATATTCTTACAAATACAGAAGTGCTGACAGAGTAGAGGGTAAGTGATTAGAAGCCAAAGTCTATAGGACTTTAAGAACTGGGACAGGTAAGCAGGTAAGGAAGTCAGCTTTGTTCTGAGAATATTTTCCAATCTGGCGAAACTTGAATTTCAATTGTGAGAGTTCTTTAGAGTAAGAAGAAATGAAATCAAAGCTCAGGGGCCACCAAGAAGGGGAGTGTATTGGAGAGCCTTCCCTCTTTCGTCATGGCCTCCCAAAGGCTATGACTAACGGTGCATCGGAAGTAAACCTGCCCCACAGCTTTCTCCCAAGAGACTCCAGGAAAGTTAACTTAGTAGTACACTGAATGTATGGGGTTCGAGGCCGGGGGGACTCTCCTCAAGACATTGTAACCATAGCTAATCTTTTTGTAGATTTGTTGCTCAAATTACAGGAAATCCTGAACTGGAAGTATCTCTAAGTGCCTGTCAGAAACAAACTCCAATCCTTCTTGGAAGAACGCACCTTTATGTTGTCCCTCAAAGAATCTCCATCAGTAACTGTTGAGAGACAGTAACCAGGACACAGTGAAAAATACCAAGCACACAAGGAACAGGTACTGTAAGAACCAGCAGAAATAGAAACAGAACTGCGAGAATACCAGATTATGAGACAAATATGATTATTACATGTTTTTGCATTATTTAAATTTTTTACTTGATTAAGTGTATAGCTTAACAATGTTGCTTATATTCATATTGTTGTACAGCCAATCTCCAGAACTTTTTCTTCTTGATAAACTGAAATTCTATGCCCATTAAACAACTATTCTGTATTTTCCCTTCCCACAGCCTTTGGCAATCACCATTCTATTTTGTGGTTCTATGAATTTTACTACTCTGGATATGATAAATGATATACTATGTACAGAGTATAATACAGTATTTGTATTTGTCTTTTTGTGACTGCTTATATTACTTAATGAAATGTCCTTATGTTCTTTATATTGTAACGTGTGTCAGAATTTCCTTTCATACTACATTGAAACAAACAAATATATGTAGGAACGGGAAACTATAGAAAATAACCTAGCACATTTGAAAGAGAACCAAATAGATTTTCTAGAGCTAGAAAGCTCAACATCTGAAATTAAAAATTCAGTAGACATAGAGTGTGGGGTAAAGGTAGGTTTGCAGTTGTTCATATGGAAAATAATACAATAATTAATAAATAATAGTACAAGAATAAAGTGTGATTCATGTACTCACAACTGTAAAACTACTTTTGCCACACCATGTATTTGGTAGATTGGATACAGATAAAGTGACATTACTTAGCCAAGGGATAATTCAGGAGGAATCATCAGAATGTAGCACAGAGAAACAAAAAGATGGAAAATATCAATGAGATGTGAAGAGGCATAAGGGGTATAGAGTGTGTTTTGATGAAAGAGAGAGAGAGAGGCGGCTGGAAGGAAAGAGAATGGGGCAGTGTATTTGAAGAGAAAAAAGCTGAGGATTTGCACAACTGAAGAAAAACACCAACCCACAGATTCAAGAACCCAAGCTGATTGCTAGGACAAAGAAAAGGAAATTTACACCTAGATGCACGGTACTCATTCTGTTGAAACAGGTGGCAGACTTCCTCTTTCTATTCCTAAAATTCTCATAAAATTTTGGCTTCCCATTGGTCTATCTATGACAAAGACTGTTAATTGTCTCCCAACGTCCATTTCCCTATTACTTTTTGTTGTAGCTAGACACATAGCCAATGGGCTAATGACTACATTTCCCAGATCTCCCTTGCAGCTTCCTGTGGCCAGATGACCAATGAGATGTGAGTGAAAGTGATGTGCACCACTGCACCACTTTACAGTCCTGTTCAAAAAAGGATTAAGAGTGCTCTCACCTTCTTCTTTTCCCCCCTTCCTGATTCTTGGCCATTTTCAGAACTGACCTTTGACCCAGACTTGGAAGCCCTTGTTGAATACAGTAAATGCCCTATTAGCCATGGATCACATTACTTGATAGAGAAATAAACTCCTATTATAAATAAACCACTTTGTTAGGAATTCCTCAGTTACAATAATTCACACTGTACCATAATACATCAGAACTTCACTTCACTGAAGCTAAACCCAATGAGGACTAGCGATCCACTGGGATCTAGCACCTCCCCTGTCTTTACCCTCTTAAAGAAACCAGCAGGTTCTCCCTGTCTATGTGTTCATCTCCCTGGGTCTATGGTTCTTCTCGCCGTCTCCTTAAAAAGAGATATCTCCCTTTAATCTAAAGGTCACTAGTGTCTTCATAATTAAACTGATAATAAATCATATATTATTTTGTGACACCTCTTATATTTTAAATTGTTATTTAAATATTTTACATTACTTATAATAATAATCATCCTAATGGTTACCAATGGGGACATTAGAGTTAGAGAAGTTAATTAATTTTGCCTGAGGCTGTAAATCTGGTCAGAGGTACAATAAGGATTTTAACCTACATCTATCTGACTCAAAAACCAGTCTCAACACTCATCTATCTACTTGTGCCTTGTCTGCTGCAGGGATCTGTGAGCTCAGTGAGCCCAGATCCTCCCCCAGCCCCACAGTTTCTATGAAGGGCCTTGATCAGAGGAGAGCCTTGATTAGAGCAGGCTCCTGATGAATACTGACAATTCTGCCCCCACCATCTCTCATCTGGGTCACTTGCTCTCAGTAACTCCGAGGGTATGTTCTGCTCTCCTTTTTCTCTCTCTTCTAGCTTTTCTCTTTTCTTCCCTTCCCTCCCTGTCTTCTTCCCTCCCACACAGTGAAACTGAGTGTGTACTCTTGATGGTTCTAAGAGAAGGTGATGGTCTTTAACCTGGGAAAGTGGAAAGGACCGGGTAATGCAAAGAGCAAAAAAATTGCAAGATGGCCCTCAAAGATGTTTTCTTTCAAAGGTGTTTCCTTTTACAGGAAATTGAATTAAAATGCTTTCAGGTAGAGTATTTTGTTTGTGACTTTTTAAAATGTTAACATTGCCTTTTTTTCCTATACAATTCTCTCTCAAGTTATATGCTAAATCAATAGAAAATTGTGCTTTAATTTTGCAAATTAAATATTTACTTCTAGCAATTATACCAAATGAAATGAGGTAACAACAACAACAACAATGATCATCCTGTGCCTGCACAGCGCCAGGGGCCAGGCTGCAGCACCAGAGCACGTGCTCGCCCATAACTGGGGCTGGTTGCTCTCCATAGCGGCTCTTTTCAGTGCAAGAGACATGGTGGGGGAAAATAATAATAATAAACATTTACTAAAAACTTGCTTCGTGTCAGGTATTGTATTGGAATTTCATGATAATTGCTTGAGTGTAGCTGTACTTGTACTGTAGTATATATTTATTTTCTTGTTGATAGCAAGGGAGGGGGTGTATTTGTACTACTTATGCATTCCAGCTCCCAGATGTTGATTTTTATTTGTCAGGAGAGGAATCATTCCCAGTTACTGGCACCCATTTGACATTTAGCTCCAACCCAGGCGGTCATTCTGCTAATTTTCTGATTTTTCAATAGGATTTTGAAGGATCCCAAATAGCCTTCAATTTTACTAGTAACTTTATTTATGTTAATGTTTTGCTCATTCTAAGTTAAAGGCACCTGTAGATTTAATTTCTTGTATTTTTCTTTAAGTTGCCGTTCTTTGGTTCATTGTTCATTTTTTCCTACTGCTGCTGTAATAAATTATCACAAATTTAGTAGTTTAAAAGAGTACAAACATCATCTCAAAGTTCTGTGGGTCAGAAATCTAGATTGCTTTAAGACTCAGCTAGTTTCTCTACTTCAGGTTTTACACGGCAGAAATCAAGGTGTCATTAGCTGGTTGGGTTCTCTTAGGGAGGTTCTGGGGAAGAATATACTTCCGAGTTCTTTCAGTTAGTTCCTTGCAGTTGTAGGACTGAGGTTCCCATTTCCTTGCTGAATGTCAGCTGAGGGCTGCCCTTGGCTCCTAGACGCCTCCCTTCTGTCCTTGCCTGTGGGCTCTCAGAGCCTGTGCACCAAATCTTCCTCACGCTTGGAATCCCTATGACTTCTGCCTCTAGCTAAAGAGAACTCTCTTCATGTGATTAACTTGGTATGGCTGGGTAATCAGGATACCCACTTTGGCTTTAGATCTTCCACCTTAATTACATCTGCCAAGACCCTTTGCCATATTCATAGTGTGATATGAGGGAGCAAGGGTCAAAGGGCATGTTAAGGGCTGAATTGTGCCCCCTCCTCCCTATTGATACATTGAAGTTTTAACTCCTAGTACCTTGTGACTGGGAGGGTCTTTTAAGAGGTAATTAAATTAAAACTAGGTCATTAGAGTAGTCCCTAGCCCAATATGACTGGTCTCCTTATAAGCAGAGAATATTAGGATACAGACACACACAGGGAGACCATGTTAAAGATCAGTAAAAGGTGGTCATCTAAAACCAAAAACAGAAGTCTCAGGAGAAACCAACCCTGCCAAACCCTTGATCCAGAACTCCTTGTCTCCAGAATAGTAAGAAAGTAAATTTCTGTTGTTTAAGTCACCCAGTGTGTTGTATTTTGTTATGTCAGCCCTAGTAAACCAATACAGGGGCCAAAATTCTGCTGACCACAGTCATAAATTGCCCTTGAATTCTTCTTTGCATTTGGGTTAACTGACTATCTACAATTGACTGACTTCAGTTGGGGTGTTTTCTTAACAAAACTTCTCTTGGCATCTTCTCTTGGCTTCCAACAGCTAGATCACCTTGTTTTCCTTCCAATCTCTGGCAATTCTCTCTCAAAATCCCTTGCTAGCTTTCTTCTGCTTATTCTTAAAAAAAAATTTTTTTTAGACCTGGCTGGTGTGGTTCAGTGGATTGAGTGCTGACCTGCAAACCAAAGGGTCGCTGGTTCGATTCCCAGTCAGGGCACATGCCTGGGTTGCAGGCCAGGTCGCCAGTAGGGGGTGTGTGAGAGGCAACCACACATTGATGTTTCTCTCCCTCTCGTTCTCCCTCCCTTCCCCTCTCTCTAAAAATAAGTAAATAAAATCTTTAAAATTAAAAAAAATTATTGATGAGAGAAACATAGACTTGTTGTTCCACTTTTTTGTGAATTCATTGGTTGATTCTTGAATGTGCTTTGACAGGGGGTTGAACTGGCAACATTGGCATATGGGAATGATGCTCTAACCAACAGAGCCATCCGACCAGGGACTGCTTATTCTTACCTATTAGTCTTCTTCCATATACAAACCAAGGCACTCTTCTCACTTTATACTCTCTCCTTAGGAAACTTCTCTTATTCCTATGGTTCAGTTGCCATCTACACCGATGACTCCCAGATCCAGACCAGTCTTCTATTTAGAGGTTCAAATCTACATATTCAACAATTCTGCCTCCATTTGGGAACTCTTCAGACTGCTCAAATGCAACATGTCTCAAGTGGAGCTTACAATTTCTCCCATCCCCACTCCACTCTGCTTTATTCCATTGTTTCTTATTTCAGTAAATATCAGTATCATCCCCATTTCCCCATGTACCTCCCTCTCTCTCATCCCATACCCCCCGAAATACTCACTAGTTTCATCTACTCTTCTCCCACGTATACCTTGAATCAGTCATTGCTTTTCCCATCTCCACTGCCACCACCATAACCAAATCACCATCATGTCTTGTCTGGGCTACTGCAACTAACACTTCTCGTAAAGCTGTAGTCTTCATATAGCCATGAATGATAACACAGCTATGATGGGAGTTTGGGAAGAAAGGTGGTAGGTATTGGTGTGGAGGTTAAGAAGTCCTGATCCATCAAGATGGGAAAGTCAATTGAAAATGTCTAAAATGATTCATCAAGAAATATCAAAAAAGTGTATAATTTAAAAATAAAAATATAATAGGAAGGGGAACAGAAGAATTGAAGGTGGTTGCCTGTGGAAAATATGACTGGGGCAGGGAGAGGGAGCCAAGGGCTACTGTTTTTATTATAAACCTTTAAGTATTATTACTACACTTATACAAATTTAAGAAATAGATTTATGAAAATATATTACTTCTTGAGTTCCTAATAAATTGAGATATTCAAATAAGTCCCACTGGCTGCCTTTATGCTGGTATAGCTTTCTCTTTTTTAAAATATATTTGATTGATTATGCTATTACAGTTGTCTCAATTTTCCCCCTTTGCCCCTCTCCACCCGATACCCACTATTACTTCCAGCAATCCCCCCTTATTGTACATGAGTCATGCACATAACATAAGTTCTTTGGCTTCTCCATTTTCTATACTGTTCTTAACATCCCCCTACTTAGTACCTACCAATTTGTATTTCTTTTTTTTTAGAGAGAGATTTTATTTAATTTTAGAGAGGGAGAGCAACATCAGTGTGTGGTTGCCTCTTGTGCTCCCCCCAGTGGGGACCTGATCTGCAACCGAGGCATGTGCCCTGATTGGGAATTGAACCAGTGACCCTTTGGTTCATAGGCTTGAGTTCAATCCACTGAGCCACACCACCCAGGGCCCAATTTGTACTTCTTAATCCCTGCACCTTTTTCGCAGTTCTCTCATTTTCCTCTCCCAGCCGATAGCCCTCCAAATGATCTCCATATCTATGATTCCGTTTCTATTCTGCTTGTTTACTTATTTTGTTGCTTAGATTCAATTGTTGATAGTTGTGAATTTATTGCCATTTTAATGTTCATAGTTTTAATCTTTTTTCTTAAATAAGTCCCTTTAACATTTTATATAATAAAGAGTTGGTGATGATGAACTCCTTTAGATTTACCTTGTCTGGGGAGCACTTTATCTGCCCTTCAATTCTAAATGATAGCTTTGCTGGATAGAGTAATTTAGGTTGCAGGTCCTTACTTCTCATCAGTCCCTTCTAGCCTACAAAGTTTCTTTTGAGAGATCAACTGACAGTCTTATGGGAAATTCTTTGTGGGTAACTATCTGCTTTTCTCTTGCTGCTTTTAAGAGTCTCTCTTCATTTTTAACCTTTGGCATATTAATTATGATGTGTCTTGGAGTGGGCCTCTTTGGGACCATCTTGTTTGGTGCTCTCTGTGCTACCTGTACTTGTATGTCTATTTTTATCACCATATCAGGGAAGCTTTCTTTCATTATTTTTTCAAATAAGTTTTCAATTCTTGCTCTTTCTCCTCCACTTCCAGGACCCTTATGATTCAAATGTTGGTATATTTGAAGTTATCTCAGGGGTTTCTTAGCCTATCCTAATTTTTTGGATTCTTTTTTGTTCTTAACGTTCTGATTGAATGTTTTTTGTTTCCTTATGTTCCAAATCATTGATTTGATTCTTGGCTTCTCATTCACCCCACTGTTGGTTCCCTGTAACTTTTTCCTTATTTTCCAGAAACTTCATTTCTGCCTGGGACATTTTTATGCTGTTGAAGTACCCAAGGAGTTCCCTGAGCATCCTAATAACCAGTGTTTTGAACTCTACATCTGTTATATTGCTTATCTCCATTTTGTTTAGTTCTTTTTCTGGAGTTTTGATCTGTTCTTTCATTTGGGCTCTACTTCATTGTCTGCTCATTTTTGCATCCTCCCTGTGTTTCTTTCTATGTGTTAGGTAGAGCTGATTTGACTCCCTGTCTTAGCAGTGTGGTTCATTGTATAAAAGCACACCTGTAAGTTGGATGGGGTGTGGAGCCTTAGGTAATTGGCAGGGTGGGGCAACTGGTTTCACTGCTTTGTGGCTCTGTTTAGGGAAGAGCTCAGAGAAGGGACAATATTGCTGCTTGGCTTCTGGAGTTCGGTCCTAAAGAAAGCTGTCCCCTGGCACTTGCCTTGATGGCAGACACTTCAATTCCTCCCCATATGCCACTGGTGCCCTTCCAGCAGTTGCCCTGCTGCCAGAGACCAGAGGGAGTGACTTTGTGTAAGTCCTAAGTCCATTGTGGGGACCTTTAAGAGAAGACTCCTGAGAATCTCACAGTTTCTTCTGCAAACCCTATCTCCACTGGTTTTCACATCAAGAAGCTATGGTGCTGGTGCTGGAACCCTGGACTGTGTGGTGTGAAACTTGGATCCATCAGTCATGAGGTACCCTTGATTTTTATCCACCACACATAGGTGTGGGACCAGCCATTCCACATCTCTGCATCTCCATGCCTCTCCCTGCACACATCTCTGTATCTCTGCTCCTCCTACCCATCTATATGAATGTGGTTTCGTTAATTCCTTGGTTGTCAGACTTCCGTACTGCTCAATTTTCTGATAATTCTGGGTGATAATCTGTTTTGTAGTCTA